GCATATAGTTCAGCACTGGATACAGAGGACGCATATATCGTGGTATCATCGGCATACATGTGTGCTTTGGTATGGAGAAGACATCCAGGGAGATCATTAATATATATTAAAAACAACAAAGGGCCTAAAATCGAACCCTGTGGAACTCCACAACTTATCAACTGGGGCTCAGATACACAGCCCTCTACTACACACTGCTGTTGCCTATCTGATAGGTACGATGAAAACCAGTCCAGCGTTACACCCTTCAGACCATAGAGATCAAGCTTTTTTAATAAAATAATATATAACAACTATTCACCGAAGTGGAGGTGGCTAGTCGTGAATATTTACCGATTGAGCACAAAAATGATGATTTTTAACTCAAATACTGTTGCCAACGATTACAATTTTGGCGCGTAATGACCGGGCGGCCGCGGCCGTCGCTTTTCTTTGCCGACAATTAAAACTTTTCAAGGCATTTGTTTAGCTCTTGCGGGGAAATTTCTTCAAAAGGAGTTGTGAATTCTTTTTGTATTTCAAATCATTCTATAAAAAAAAGATTATTAAATTTAGTTTTAAGCTTATTTATGAACAACTCAACTAAATAAAGTAACGCAAGACTTATTAAACTTAATTTGCATTTGTAAACAAAAAACTTTTTCACCGTTTTTTATCGATAAATTCGTGTCAAAAAGACAAAGCTTTACCTGTTAAAACTTTTAATCCGAACTTCGTCACCGTCTTCGTGTATTTCGGAAACAGCTTGCTTGATTAGTTGTGAAATTTCTTTGTTTGTTTACGGCAGCAAACCGGGAAGAGGAACTGGAGGTGAATCAGTGAATAGTGCAGGATATTCACTGATTGAGTAGCCAATCAGAGCGCGTGAAAAACACTATCCACTGTTTTAGTATATACTAAATAGATTTAGCCGGGGCTAAAAGCGAAGCTCCTATTAACTCAAATTTATAGTTTAAATCAAACAATAAACTTGTAATTTCCACAAATCAGTTAACTTTAGAGCACATTCATGTGCCTTTTGAGGGAAAGACTAAGTGATTTTAGAGAAAAATAATTTGCAAACAGTCCAAGCTAAGAATGAACTTAATCTTACATCGAGTTGATAGCCTTATATGTACACCCAAAAAATAGCTTAGCCATAATGGCTCTTGATCACAGTAGATTAGGCCTGGAAAACATATTCTTGGAAAACAAATCAGGCCGAATTTGTCTGGGGAGGTGTAAACCAACCTTTTATACTTTTTATACACCACATCTGAGGTGAAACAGTACCATGAGGCGCTGTTTTTATCATAAAGACCTAGGACAGAATGCAGTATTTCACAATTTTGCTTTACAAATTGCACTCATTCAATATTTAGGACGATCGAAGCACGCGTGGGCTTCGCGTGGGCCTTCAGCCAAACCGTTAAAAAAATTTCCAAAATCTCCTATACGGCTAGCCGGCGGGTTGTCAGTTTTGACAAGCGCCAAAGTCGACTGTTTGAATTAATATTAATATAGTTATACGCTTCAACATAATAAAGAATTTATTATGTTTATTTTTTATCTAATGGTTTGATAACGATATGCAATCTTCAAAAGCGTTTGATACGCGTGGCATTAAATTGACTACTCCTGCAAGCGATGTTCATGAGTGACTGAAAACAAACGGCACAGCGATTAAAATTGCAAAGAGACTACAGTAATAGCCCGCGTATAAGAACCTGGGTTTTAAGAACCTGTTAGGCTAAAATTTTCATTTTAAGCCCCCTCCACATAAGAACCTATTTAGGCTAAAATTTTAAGTTAGGTTCTTATCAGTGGGGTTGCCGTAAAAGTGTATAGGTAGAAACTGCTGAATTAAGATCATCATCTAGGACATATGCTGTACTTGCACTGAACTGCCTATATAGGCATTGCTCCATGGTACAAATAAATGATTTATACTGTATTATCAGATGATATTTATAATATATATAGTATATTCAGATGAAATTCATATGAAAATATAACAACCTATTTTAAGAACCTCGGTAGCCTAAATTTGCTTTAAGTACCATTTCTATAAGAACCTATTTAGGCTAAATTGAAAAATTCAGGTTCTTATACGCGGGCTATTACTGTACTAACAATCAATAATAAAGGAAAATAATTCGGTGAAACATATACAAAGACAACAATTTTCATTCACGAAGACAAGTATTAAAGTGTCAATAGCGTGTAACCCGGTTTTTAATTAGCTGTATCTTATAAAATAAGACCTCCCTTCTTTTCAGCTGTCTGTAGTTTTGCCAAAATGTTTAATTGAACTGAAGTCTATTGACTTTCAGTTTAATACTCGTTTGTTGTGTGAGTTTACATAGCATTATACTCGCTGTTGGTAAAAATTTTCTCACAAACAGAAAACGGTTACCACGATCTCCTTGGGTAATGATAGGGAACATTGGATTAATCAGTTTTTTATAATATCTTGTCAAAACGAGTATTCAGGGTGGGGGGCTAAAAATTTCGAAAGCTCGTTTCTATTACTTCTTTCCCAAATTTACCCATATGAAAATAGGCAACAAAATTCAACAAACATGAAAAATGGAATGAGATAAAAAAAAATAGATATATTTGGTCTAGTTAATTCTAGTTAATACATTTCAAACTAACCAAAATAAAATTTGTTGGTGTTCGCTTGAAGCACAGAGAGTCTGACTAAGATTGATTTCTCTTCGTCTCTCGTTTAGGGAAAAAGAAGTCGACAGGAGCAAAAACGACACAGTGCACATGTTTTATAAACATAAACACTATGCTTCTGTATATGTGCATACAGTTTTTCCTTCTTCTCTATCTTTCCCTTCAAATCAGCAAAGCCAGTCGATGTATGGAATAAAATTGAACGCTTGTGCTGAGATCAATAACAAGCAAAATTATTTGCCTTCTTATTTTTTATTGAATTTGGTATTAGAAATAACATGAGCGAAGAATAATCCCTCACGAAAAATAGGAAACAAATTTAAAGATAAGGACTTATTCGGATTATTTGGTTCATTTGTTATAACTTTTCCAAGAGGTTTTTTCAAGTCAGACTTTTCTCCAGCTGGAGCGATCCAGCCCACTTAAACATAGAACACCCATGAATCGTCTTTCTAAAAAGTGTTTTCGGATATTCAAATTTTTAAATTTGCCTTCAAAGAAAACCAGAAGTCCATTCGATTACAAAAAAACGAGCGCACAGTCAACTTACGTATGATGAAAAAAAAATTAAGCGGGTTCTTTTCCGAAAAATAAAACGATTTTTAATAGGGCCGGAATTAATATCATGTAGGTACGTTTTGGAAGTATATAAATCAGCTGTCGAATTGAAGGCAAAATCTTGTTTCTCTTAATAAGATATTCTTAAACTAGCGAAGAACGACCATTGTTTTTCTTTCTGAGGCGTTACAACCAGTCTAAGCGGCCTCATATTCGTTGATATAAGAAAAATAACAGTAGTCCTTCAGTCAAAAAAAAATCTTTTAGACTTTTGTGGATAAAATTTCTATCATGAGCCACCAGAATTTTCTTAACTACGTACGTGATGTGTGAATTCACACCTGCGGGAATGCTGAAATGGATCTGACATCGAAAACGATTCAGCTTCGAAGGGATCAATTCTTAATCATTAATTGATAGAATGGGCGTGCGCTTGACTTGTTTTACGTTAACTGATACCAAAAACAGGGAAAATTGACATTTCAAGCAATTGCTTTTTCTATAAGATGTCCATGTCAATTTCAAAATTTATTTCATTGTTGTTGTAGTTGTTTTTATCCATTGCCCTTTTTTTATTTATTGTCTATTCGTAACTTTTTGAAAATGTAGTACTAATAATAGAGCCTTGTATCCTCGCACCTCGCCAGAGATGGCTGTATTCGCAGGATAATCATAAATGAAGTTAAGTTGACCTTAAACGATCCAGCAGTATTTGCATTAAAGGCGAGCTGACTGCTAAATTAAAACTATGATGAATTTTAAATATCTCTGTTTTTTCTCCCTGCGCTAATTACTGTCACAATAACGCCATCAGTTTCTGCATTTTTTTTAGTACCAGTTTGTTTAATATGTGCGACGTTCGGGTGCCGCTTGTTAATTGATGTTAAGAACTATATTTTTTTGGACTGAAGGTTATTACACAATATATCTTTATTCTTGCTGTTAAAGGTAAAACTATATATCGATGTTCATAGTTGACTTCAGCAACTTATTAATCGAAACATATTTTAGAATTTTGAAGCTGTCCATACTTTCGACCTGTGTTTCAATTTCCTTTGCTTGGACAGACACCTCAGTTACGAACTTTAATTAAATCATTAAATTTTGACTATATAGTAAATGAGGGCTAAACTTAAGCAAACGTAAATTTACATGGCACTACGCTGGCTGGTAACTTAATTTAAAATGCGTGTTTGTAATAGCCGTTGGGTAATTAACATTTCGCAATTTTTAGAGGTTAGCTTTTTAATATGCGACGATTATGAAAGCCTTTTATCAGAATGCCCTGTTCAACGTCGCAGTGCTGCGGTAGAGAAAAGCTGCACTTCTTTTCAAGAACAAAGTATATATATTCACCATTCAACAAGAGACAAACTCTGTGAATTCCGATGTCCTCAACCGGCCGGCCAAGGCGGTTTGTTCGCCAAAACGGCAACGAGCTTTTTAATGTTTTCCTATCCTCTACATTGGCAGGACAAGTCAATCACTGAAAGGACACGCGTCAATCGAGCTCAAAGTATTAATTAACTTGCTATTTTACAAAATTATAAAATATGTTTAGCAGTGAAACCTACAAAATTTACCCCAGTACTTCCTTTACGCAGACACACCCTGTTCACGAAAACAATGCTGTAATATTGCAGAGATAAGTAACATGATTTCCTCACTCATTTTCTGCTTCGTCGTTGGCGCAGTTTTAGCAGCCGAAGAAGACTCTAGATCTGCCTACATCAAAACGCAAGAGAACAAGCGTTTACATGGCTATGTTGTCAAGAAAATCGATTCTACGGATGAAATGTCGTGCAGTCAAGCATGTTTAAGACATTCTTGGTGTACCTCTTCTAACTTCAAAGAGTCCTCGGGCAACTGTGAACTGAACAAGCATGAGTTTTCTACAACTGACGATGACACCAAGCTCACTGATAATCCAGGCACAACGTTTTCAATGTTTCTTAAGGTAAGAAAAGTTTTGAATTTTCATTGCTTAGACAACAAGGGCGTGCGTGTGCAGACCAGCCTAATTTCCTCGTGCAAGAAGAAATAGACTCCTGCACCCAGGATAAGGCAACAGCTGTTAAAGCGAAACTAAGTAAAAAAAAAAAGAAATTCGGTAAAACAGTAAAGTTGAGTTGTTGTAAAAAAAAGCGCACGCATTTCAGTCATGTTTCGTATGGGAGCGAGCCATGTTTTAGCTTTCCCAAATTTTTCAGTTCCGCAAAATCACCATCAAAGGCAATTTTTTCTTCCCTAACAAATGGCGTACATGTTTTGAAAATAAAGTTAAGAGAAGTATAGAGTGCAAACAACCGTAAATGTTAAAAAAAGAGGAACGCAGAGCCAGCAATTTATAAGTGGAATTTTTATGTTCAACATTAGATTTGCTTTGGGCCGTTAAAAATGTTGATGGATAAGTCTAGTTACCTGCAAGAATCTGTAGCTAGTACGTCGCCCTCCCCTGCCCGAGAAAGACTGGCTAAAACATCGCCTTTCTGGTATATAAAGTCTAAAGTGTCTCTGAAAATCCTTGATTATTGTTTATGTTTTAAGCCGGCTTCCCGGTGTTTGCTTTTTTCAAAGATGAACTCGAGGCAAGAAAATCGCTCAAAGCTTTCTTTTACAGCCAGAATTATAACTAAATCTTCTTTGGGACGTTTTCTTATTTATCTATTTGCGGTGAGAAAATGTCTGAAGTCTTTTTAAAGTTCTATAAGGTTATAATCAAACCTGATACTCGGTCAGATCATTGTCTCAAATCTTACAAACGTGCATAAACTAAATAGCCCCATAAACTACACTCGACTTATAAAAAACAAACATCAAATAAAATAATTACTCAGGCTTACCATTCGAGATGCACTGAAAACTATCAAGTAAGGCCAGAATCGCTTCAGACTTTTCGACCCTCTTACGCATCCAGCAAGGTGAAAAACGAAACCGATGCCATCCGAAATCGGATTTCCAACTTTGACAAGCGACGTATTTCTCAATCAAAAACCCGATAAACAAACTAGCCATGAATAACAGAAGACTCCTGATAGCAGCTGAATTTCATTTTGTACAATGTTCAGTGGAAAAAGAAGGTTAAAAACATCACAAGTTGACAAAAAACTCTGTCAGCTTCAGCTGTCAAAGTAAGCAAGTTTCAAGATGCTGCATAAATTTTCCGCATGAACTCACCTGTCAAATTTTGACCAATCAGAGCATAAAAATTGGACGTAGAGCGTGACCAACGCGTGATCTTGGTGAGAAAAGTCAAAAGCAACTGGCATGTCTTCCCTGCCTGTAAAAACTGGCTGAATCTTAGCTTCCGAGGTCAGTTTGAAATCCAAATTTTAATTGTGCGGCACATATAAATCAAACTTGAGCCTGCAATCATTTGAAAACTGGTAACTTGTAGGCGGATAACTTCAAAAAATACTCGACCTCGATGGGTCGACACCTGAGACCCCGATACGGTCAGGTAATACTGGTCAGCGGATACCCTGTTTTGACAGCTGTCAATTGATCACAAGATTGATGTGCAATATGTGTGCTATAGAGCGGTTTTCACTTGACTGTCGAAAGGGATTGGTTTTGGTTTTGGTTTTGGTTTTACTACGCCCTTTGGTTGGCTAGTGTATTTACTTTGGTTTTGGTTTTACGACAGTCAAGTGAAAACCGCTCTATCAGTCTTCCCGTGCTCCCAAACTAGCTAGAAAGTGTGGGATTGAGCATTGGTTGCCCTGTGGTACGGACGGACGGGCAGCGGGCGGGAGGTGTACGGTCACATGATTACCAAATTTTCTGGGATGGGTAGATTTACTTACCCATGGTGCTCCGCAGGCGCGCTTCGCGCGCCAGAGCTCCGCTATAATCCAAATGAGTTTAAGGTGTATGTTATACGACCGATCGCTAGAAACAGAAGGTCTTGAAGTTTTTCTAAAATCAGTCGCAAAGAAATATTTTAACTTACTGCAATCGATTGATCGTCATAAACAAGAGGTTTTGACGTGAAATCAGTAGAAATGAAATGATTTAACTTGCTGCGTCCTTACTTTTAGGGGCTCATAAAAGTCGTGTTTTGTTAAAACACAAAAAGGCGGTTTATTCGATACCTGCCTCAGTTCCTAGATCAGTGCCAAAGTTTCTCTTTGATAGTATCAGTCAAGGTACTGATATTATCATATTGACAAGGTCATAATAAAGTTTAGTTATAACGTGCACTCTGATCGGTTGAAAAACGTGCTTTAATTGAGAGTATAAAAAACGGAATTGAAGCTGTCACGTTCTCTACAGCGGAAATTTGCACAGTCAATTCTTCTTTATTTGTTATAGCAATGCCCTGTAAGTTCTTTCAAATTTACACTTAGGATAGCGTGGTGATATTGACCTAACTAAAAAAAACACACATCACTATTACCTTTGTTATGCTAAAATGTTTAGCCAACAGCTTGCACAGCAAGTGAACAACGATTCACCTTGTTTCATCAGTTTGTTTAATTGCGGCATGTGTTGATTAAATAAATCAGCTTAAACTAACACTAAAAATTTGGAATGTTTGCCAAACGTTTTTCATAAGACATACTAAAAATAAATTTGCATAGTTTGCACAATATATGTCAGTGGCTAGGGGTTTGCCATGAAATAATAATTTTTAAAAATGTTTCCTGTCTGTAGAGGGTCTCCCTCGTCTATATTGACAACCTTACACCCTAATTGTGCTTTAATTTATCTGTCTTTCTCACATCACTTTCGAAGAACGAAAATGACTCCCTAGCAATTTTATTTAGTTTAGTTTTGATGATATGAGATGTAACAAACTTTAAAACACGTCAATCAAGTTTCGATTATCGACTTTTGCTAAGTGATATCTAAGAACCCAATGTACATGCTACATGATTGTAGATGAAAACTTCACAATCAAAATCTCACGTACACCACAGTACGTTGCCAAGTATCCGGACACTTCAGTTTAACATTGCAATAACTTTCCTTTGTTAGTCGCAAGAACTCTGAAATTTGGCCCAGAGAAAATCTATTTAGTCCGAGTTAATACCGTATTTATTCGCCCTTATTAAATTTTTGGCTCTTGAGAGTGGGCGCTTATTCGAGGTGGGCGTTTATTCGAGGCTGGGCGCTTATTAAATTTTCACCATTCTCAGCAAGTGTAGTAGTATATTTTACAACCAAACAGTAAATGGTACCAACAAAAAGTGAAGATGTAACAAAGCAAGGTTTCTGTAAAATACTCTGAAGAAAACTCCGTCTCCGGGAAGGTCTCTTATTATCTCTTATTGGAGTTATTGTGGGAGGGAGTGGGGTGGGGTGGGCGCTTATTCGAGGCTGGGCGCTTATTAACTTTTTCTGCCTTTAGCATGGGCGCTTATTCGAGGTGGGCGCTAATTCGAGGTTGGGCGCTTATTCGAATAAATACGGTATGACGAAAGACAGTTTAAATTTTTTGCCTTTGTTTCCATGGCGAAATTAATATTTTTGCAGGGCTCCTATGTTGCCCAGTATCCGGACAGCTGATCCAGTATCCGGACACAACAATAACAACGTAATTGTACATAAATTTCGACAAGCAAGCGACTTATAAGCTTCTCTTGCACTTGCAAAGTAGTCTGGCAATCGATTCCAAAAATATAACCTGCCATCGTGAAATAAAACATGACAAATGACTGTGGTATGGTGGGGAACGCGAGCGGTTGTTAAATGTCATAACTCATACTTCCTTGTCTAGGAACTTTTTCACTGATTTAAAGAAGACGTCCGTGGACATGCGGAAGCCGCGGTTTGCTAGCTCAATTAGCCAATCTGCAAACGACTTTTTTTCTTCATTTTTTATTTTAAAAAAAAAGCTTGGGGAAGGGACCTCAATGCGACGGTCAAAGGTCACTCTCCTATTTAGTCTGACCTGCAGTGTTGATTTCTTCATGCTCCGTCCCTACAGACCCTACAATAAGCCCGCTTTTCTAGCACTAATTCCTCCTTCTTTCACATCTCTCAATCCCTTTGTGACATTTTTCAGACCGTCGCAGCCCCATTTTAGCAGTCACAACTGGGGTAAGTATGAGAATTCCAGGTTCAACTCCGACGCTTTCGGTTACATATAGAAAATGCAGTCACGCGAAACAAGCGGCGCACACGAAATCAAGTCGCCTCCGAAGGAGTGAAGAAAATTTCCGTACGGAGTTGAGTAGAATTACATTTTACGACTATATGATATATCCTAAGCTTTAATTATAGTGACAGATATGAAATAAATCTTATCCGGATAATGTACGCAGCTAATTCATCGATTCTGTACAGCAAAGAAAAAACTGTCCGGATACTGGGCACCTGACATCAATACTTAGTGAATGTTTCTGGGCTCCGTTATTCCAAACAAATCGAATTTCAAGAATAATTAATAAACTTTCTGAGAACCTGACTTCTTTAAGTATCTTTATTTAAATATAAAACCGTTTCTTTGAAAATATCACATATCACCTACCCTTTTCTGGGCAGCACTAATTTTACAGCACAGTAAACAGCGTAAATATTAGCCATGAAATGTTTATTCGCCTGAACAGAACTGCGTCTTCTGCGACTGTTTCGCAAGCTTTCATCTCGCCAAAACCTTCATCTTAAAGCCGAAATGATCAGCTTTCATTCGCAATACATTGTTTACCGATAACTGAAAACGGCGCCTCAAGATTTTCTCTTCTCTTTTCCGTAGATAAAAGATCTCTGCGAAAATTTAAACTCTCTGAATGATAGATAAAAGGCTAAATGCTTTGGTTGTAGAATCATATCAGTTGGATATTTATTTTTCGTTTTCAACAGGGCTGTCTTGTGAACGGATGCCTAAATAAAGGTTCTTGTATTTTTGACCAAGAAAAGGAAACTTTTGCTTGTTCATGCAAACAGCCATGGCGAGGAGAAAGATGCGAACTGGGTAAGCCTATACTATGTAATTTATTCACAGCGAGAGCGTTATTTGTTTTTCATTATCATTTAGAAATTTATGTTGGTATGGCAATATTTCCTTACAGTTTAAGCGGTTATATGTCTATATTACAATCAGTTGTGGTAATAACGGTAGTAGTAGCAGCAGCAGTAGTAGTAATAGTTGTTGTTTTTGCTGTTTTTGTACAGTGTTGGTTTCATGTCAGTGCTCTTAGGTTCGTATTCAGTAAGAGTTTTAGTTTAAAGGTTCCCTTTTGTCCTATATTCTTAAAAGCTATAATAGACTTCATTAAGATTTCGCTTCAATCACAGAGGACGTGACAACTAAAATGACATGTCATTATATTTCACACATTTATTTCTGAATTATCTGCGACAGGAAATTTGAACTTGCAAAAGGTCATTATTAGGTTTTTTAAAGGCCACACACGCGAGGGGAAGTCCTTTTCTGCCCTTGCACGCGAGATCTTACTTGAGATTTCTCCCTTCCAGCCTTAAAGAAACCAGCCCATGCAACAGAGGCTGCGCTGAAATCGATTGAGCAAAGTAAATATATCACAAAAGTTGGCAAAGATCGAGGCTAACATAATACAGGGGCACCCAGCGACTGTTTGCTGTAAAATATCTGTTCGGAGAGCCAGATGCTGCCTAGAATTTTCTTCTGCTGAAGACAGCTAAAAATTTACAGATGACCGCTCCATTCCCTATACAATTTTCGAAGCTTATCTAATAAATTCCCTACGATTTTTTTTATTTTTCACATTTCACCCCCCAGGTTAGGCTACTTTTCGTAGAAGAAAGGAAACCTTGAATTTTCGGATTCAAAGAGGTGATGGAGAGAGGAATCAGTAAAATTCTCACTTTCGTATTACCTTAAATTGAATATAAAATCTTCGGGAAAATAATACTGAAGCCATGTAATTTCGAAAAGACTCAAGTTCTCCTAGAATCACTGAACAGATACAAATTTTATAGAACCGCTTAGAATGCATTTCTAGAGATCTATAAATACTCTGGGTAGCTCAAAAAGTGTTTTCAGTGGATTGGGAGGAACCCGTCGTTGGGTGCCCCTCATAATATAAACAGTGTGCTACCTATGATATTGCGGTGCATTCCAATCTTTTTCCAAAAGTGCTATATTATTTTTGTTCAGTTCAACACTCGTCATGTGAAGCTGTTACAAGAAATGGAATATACCAGCTAAAAGTGAAATCGCTACAATTTGAGGTAAGCTTTATTAGAGGGCTATTGACTTTTTCATGATTACCGATCAGTGTGGTTCTCAGTGTTAAATCTATGATTTTGAGTGCGTAAGCAAACTCTTTGAAGCGTAAATAACGCGATGGTGCATCCTGTCCACGTGACACAGACAGCCTAGATATTTCAGTCCACAATTCAGGTCCGCTTTTACATAGAAAGATTTTTTCCTAGGGAAAAAAACCGGGGGGTACTCAACAAAGTTTTATCCGGGGAGGCTCCGCCCCGAGGTCCAACCCTTTTCCCTTTTTACCCACCATTTTCTACAGAAAAGGTCCCCCTTTCATATACCTTATAATGACAAATGGTACCCCTTTTCACAGACCAGTTTTTGCAACTTTGCATCCCTTTGAACTTTTAAAGGCAATGTATTTTAAATGATTAATTCTCAAGACCAGAATGTTTCCCTGATTGTCTCACAACGATAAAATGCATTTGTTTCCTCTTTTGGGCCTCTCATTAACTGAAATAACAGATTCCCGACCCTGAGGCCTAAAGGTACCCTTTACTGGAGGAGGAGCCTCCCCATATAGGCCATTGTAGGGAATATGCCCCGGAAAAAAAATTAATAGATAAAAATTAACTCTTTATCTGCAGGTCTATTGTGACGTCACAGCCAAAGGTAAACCATGGACTCTTATTGCAAAATTTTCTAACTTTGATAAAGTGTCCTGGATAAATGATGATAGACTTTGGTGGTATGACCAAAACGTTACCATAGGAACAACAAGCGATCCTTCAAATAATACGGACATGATCTCACCAGCTTTCTGGTTGGTCAGCGGCAGCGAGTTTAGGATCACGCGCAGTGATGATTCCAGTCATACACCACTGTTGCAGACCACAGGGAACTGTTTGGGTGGACAAACATTTCGATCAAAAATCACAAGTTATGGCGACTTTAGAAATGGCAAGTTTTCGCCCAAACACAGGTGCAAGGGAAGCTGTACGGTTCAATATGGCGGACAGTACAAGACAACAGACGGGTTTCAACAGGCTGAGTGCAGTGTAGGCAACATCCAAAGCAGCAACAAGATCGGCTTCTGGTGTGGCTATGGATTTGGAACTCCAGTATATGTATTTAGATCTATCATGATGATTGGTGGTGGAGGTTCAGGCTGTGCACATGCTGATCACGGGATTGGAATAACTGCGATGAACAAAAGTTCTAGAACTAAATATAAATATGACTTTGGAAATACCGCTAATCCATCATACAAACCGACACCATCCCGATCCTACTCATTAAACTTATGGATCCGCCGACTGGCAGCAAGGCCCAAGTCAATTCCATATATTTTTAGCCGGATTATCTTTGATACCATAAAACAAACGGAACAAACGTCCCAACTTTCAAAATAGATTTGAAAAATTAGATATAAAACTAGCCAACATTTGTCAGCCTCAGAAAACAGCAGATATTTTGCCACGCCACCGCTGGTTTCTCGTGAGGTCTGAGCAACAAGTGCTAAAATTCCATACTGATGACGTGCCACTACCCGGATCTTGGTAGTGCTTCTGATTGGTCGTCCCGGCCTAGGAAATTTACTTCAGCCAACTCTATTCTATGATGAGTGAAATGCCCGAGGGGGGGGGGTACTCCCGCGAATTTTGGATAGTGGTGTGCCGCGAAGGTTCGTGAACCCTAACCCTATTTAAGGACTGAGAAAGCGAAAACTGATACTCTTTTTAAGGCCGAAAGCCGAAAAATGACACCCTATTCAAGGAAAACACAAAATTATTAATAGCATGAAAAGGAAAACTTTATTTCTTCTCTGTAACATTGGATGTATAGCATCAAGCTTAAAATACTGGAATACGCCTAGTTAAAAAAAAAAATTTTCGTTTAGGCGGGCGTTTTCACACCCCAGTATTAGATAATACAATTAAGCTACCCTATCTAAGGACCACACCAGGGACACAGAAACAAAAGGGTCAAAAAAGATACCCTATTTAAGGACCGAGAACCTCAAAAACCAAACCCTATTCCGCGGCACGTACCTATATAGCCCATATGTGGGAGTACCCCCCCTCCCTCCCCGGGGGTGAAATGGCACATGTTCTCTATTATCAATGATTTTTTTTCTAGCCAGCAAAGATATTACCATCCTCGGAGACCCAGGGGCAGTCAGTCGGGTCGGAAAAGGCCAGGGACGAAAGTTTGCGAGTACGGGCAAAAGAGCCCCAGCGTACGGACTCTCACCGAACTATTTCCAAAAATTCAAGCAGATGCCTGCTCCTGATTGGGCACAAAAAATGCTTTGTATTATTGTGCCCAATGGGCGAACAGTTTCTTCTGAGTTCGACCGATCGCCAGGAACAGGAGGTTTTGAAGTTTGCATGGCCAGAATTTGATTTCGCGCACGCGCGGTACCAGTGGACACTTAGAAAAATTTCCAACAGTATTAAACAAAGGAAATTTTACAACGAAATGTGGAATAAATAAAATAATTTGCAATACAGCATGTTGTGCGATGTACCTGGAAACTAGGACCCACTTGAGACTGAAAGGCTGACTTATTTAGATCTTAGTTTTGACAAACTTAAACTCCTATCTGCAAATCTCGCCCTTCCCAGCATGGAAATAAAAATACAAAAAAATTACCTTTGTCTTCCAGATCATTCCTTTGCAAATTGAGCACTGCCACTTTGATTAACCTCTTTTCTTCGGTAATTAATTATAATTCCGTTGGAAAACTCTAAGAGGTCTCGCTTAAAAATTCGTTTCTCTCTTTCGCTCGTGAGCCTTTTTGTCTACTGAAAAAGCATATACTTCCTTCCCACGTTTGAAAAATTTGGAGTAAGTTCTATTTGCAAAAGCGCTTCTACTCTACGGCTTAAATCCAAGAGCATCGCTCTACATATATCTCGGCCAAAAATCATCTAAATTGTACGAAAGCCCCAGGAACATCAATGTTAATGCTTAATCGGAGTTTGTTTTTTGAAAATCGGACTTTGTTTTTATAGAAAATAGGAGTTTGTTTTTTGAAAATAGGAGTATGTTTTTATCGTTAAATCGGAGTTTGTTTTTTGAAAACCGGAGTTTGTTTTTAACTTTTGCCCCAGTCTCTGCTCATCTTAAGTACCAAGAAATTTCAACCAAGATGGCTGACAGCCAGGTCAGAAGACTCGTGCAAAGAGAGAGTTAAGTGCTTGTCAAGATTAATCATTAAATACTTAACAAGCACGTATACGAAGTTTTAAAAACTTAAATAGATCTTCCAGACCTTCAGATAAGGGGGAGGGGGGCGGTCTGTCGGTCTCAAGCCTCAGTTTGGTCTAAAAATAAGGGGGGGGACAGGTTCCCCGGGCCCCTCTCCTGGATCCGCCACTGATTTTGTTCCAACTCAAGAGCAGAAGCATAGAGTAGAATCTGGGGCCAATACTCGGATTTTCATTAAAAAAGGCTCCGATTTCCAAAAATCAAACCCCGATTTTCAAAAAAACAAACTCCGATTTTCAAAACAACAAACTCCGATTTTCAAAGAAACAGACTCCGATTTTCAAAAAACAAACTCCTATTTTCAAAAAAACAAACTCCGATTTTCAAAAAAACTAGCTCCGATTTTCAAAACAACAAACTCCGATTTTCAAAAAGCAAACTCCGATTTTCGATAAAACAAACTCCGATTTTCAAAAGACAAACTCTCAATTAAGCTTTAACATCGATGTCCCTTAAGGGCTTCCGTAATTGGCTCCAAAACCTCAAGTTCGAAAGCTTGTTTCGCAGAATTTTTTTCACCATCCTTGGTTTTAGCAGTATTTTTCGTCAGCTGCTTTTATTTGACCATAAACAGCTATGAATTGGACCACTCGAACTTTCCGAACATTATGAGCCCGGGAATCACAGTAAAAACCAGCAGAAAAAGCCATTGCGATCAAAATCAATCACAAAGAAATATTTTAACTTTCTGCGATCGATTGATCGTCATAAACAAGAGGTAAATGGACGTGAAATCAGTAGAAAGGAAATAATTTCAGTTGCTGCGTCTTTATCTTTAGACTCTCAAAAAAGTCGTGTTTTGTTAAAACACTTAAAACTTGTTTATTCGATACCTGCCTCACTTCCTAGATCAGTGTCAAAGTTTCTCTTTGATAGTATCAGCCAACTTACATTTTCCACTGGAATTTTTACGCTACTGATATTATCATCTTGACACTGCCAGTATAGTAAAGTTCAGGTATAACGCGCGCTCTGATTGGTTGAAAAAGTGTGCTTTAATTGAGGGTATAAAATAAGGAACAACTAAAGCTGTCACGCAGTCTGCCAAAAGTTTGTTTTGAAAATTAGAAAGCAATCCGCGGAGAATTTAACGGATTCTGTATCATAAAACAAACAATGAGCCTTGACTATGTTCTGTTCTGTTGTTGAGTATTTAGGAGCACTCAAGATTGATTGATTGATTGATTCACTTTTATTTGAATACGGTAATTTCATAAGTTACATGACTTCTTTACATGAAAGCCGTATAGAAACAGAAGTAAATACTGTACAACTACACTAAAATATGTACAAATAATAAAATATAGTAAAATGTAGTCAACAGTTTGCCTGCCTACTAGCCAGTTTTCGTTTAAAGATAGCTTTAGATTCGGACGCTTTTATGTCATTTGGTAATGAATTCCACAGCATTCCTCCTCTGTATGAGAAAGACCCTTTATAATATTCTGTTTTTGGAACATGGTCCAGTACAACATATTCCGTATTTCTTAGCATAGACGTCTAAGGGTTGTTCTCACCGACATTCGAGAAAAGATGCGCTTAAGAAACTAGGTACATTTCCATTTTCTGGATCCTAGTGGCAAGTCCCTGGTCTAAATTGTCCCAAACAACGTCGTAGTAGTCGAACACAGGCTGGATAAGAGATTTGTAAATAGTGTTTAGAACATCTAATGGTACAATAATCACTTGCCTGTTTTAGTGGATCGATTGACTTTTGAACAAAGTTTGTCGACATGCTCGTTCCATTTAAGATTTTCATCTAGGTGAATTCCTAAATATTTTGTTGCTTGGACTCGTTTAAAATGATTGTTGCCAATCTTAATTGGAAAGTCTCTTCCTAAGTTAGATAATTTGAAGGTAGTTGTTAAGAATATATACTCCGTTTTAGTGACATTTAAGCTTAACTTATTTGCAAGAAGCCAACCCCTAACGCGAGTTAGGTCATTATTTACCTTGGCATATTGTACAGCAGTGGATACAGAGGACGCATATATCGTGGTATCATCGGCATACATGTGTGCTTTGGTATGGAGAAGACATCCAGGGAGATCATTAATATATATTAAAAACAACAAAGGGCCTAAAATTGAACCCTATGGAACTCCGAGGGCTCTGGAAATGTCACTGTTTTGAAATTCGAAAATCGTACTCGTATTCAATCTCGCACTCGTAGACAAATCTGAAGTCCCTAAATGACATTTCATTTTTAACAAGTGGCACTGTCAAAGTTCGTCTAATCATTTATCTCTTAGTCACTGTGACCCAGATCTCCTCTGCTGGTGCGGTCACCAGTCGATGGACAGGTTTCACTTCCTGCCCTTCTACAAGATGAAACTTGAATCGTCTGATGAGAATGGACAGGAACACCAGTCCCTCGGCAATCGAGAATCGCCATCCGGGACACTTTCGTTTCCCGGCAAAGCCAAATGGCTGGTAAGCAAGGCTTGGAAGCTGTTTGATATTTTCAGGGCTGAAACGATCAGGATCAAACCTAAAACGGGAATTTCAATTAGTTACAAAGCGCTAGCAAGTCAGAAGGCCATAAAGAGTATCAGAGAGCTTTAGACCCTGTTCGCAATTCAATTCGCGCAAAACTCAAATATATGCCAAAAAATTTTGTCAGCAAAAAAATTTCGACAAATTTATAATGCACAATACAATTTGTTTTTAAAGTTTCATTTTAAGATCCCCCGAGTAGAAAGGCTTTCAAGATCAAGAACTTATCGTTGGGTTTTATTCTGCGTGAATTTTGCGCCCACTTTTCCAGTGCTGGAATTTTTTGGGTAATTGCCAAACTCTAACCCTCATTAGAAAATTCAACAGCTCATAGCATAAGCATAATGAACCATACGATGTCCGTCTACGTAAACTCAATCTTTTAACTCTTGAGCAAAGACGTTTCGTTGCTCATGTTACCTTCCTATTTAAGGCTTTCAATGGCCATTTAGATGTTGACTTTTCTCAATTCTTAGGTTTTTATAGCCAAGACGACCGTTACTTACTGAGACATTTTGATACTAAATCGTAAAAAAAAGAAATATGCTAGGACAAACATTCTTAAAAACAGTTACTTTTATAGGATTGTGGATGAATTGAACAGTTTGCCACTTGATGTCTGTTCGGCATGCAGTGTTGACAAGTTTAAAGCTAATGTTATTAAATTTGTAACAAATTGTAAATATTATTACTAACAGTTTTTTGTGAGTTTATTGTGATTTTTATAATTTTTGTGAGGTGATTTGTTTTTATACCGGGCCACGCAACTCTTTTACAAATTATCCTTATGGCTTTTTTCTATTATATTTATTTATTTACTTTTTCTATTTTGTAAATATGCGATTAAATTGCAATAAAAAGCAGTGTACTGTGATCTCCCCACATCAAAGTCATATGGGCCCCCTCCCCTACCACAGTCAGTCAGTACACAAATGATATGCCATGACGCTATTACCTCTTGGGTTCCGGCCACAAGTTAGGATCCTGAAGAACAACTCCAAATGGCAAAAGTATCGGAGTCTATAAAATAAATGAAAGAATGATAAAACGTCAAAACACCTGCCAGTACTAGGCAAGAGTTATAAATAGCAAATTATCCCTTACAACAAAACTACATGGTGAAATAAGGAAACGCTATGGAAAAAGTCCTGCAAAAAGATGTGTTTCTTCTCTAAAACAATGGGTACTAGTATAATGGGAAGGCTGTTAAGTGAATTTTGAAGGTCAGACAAACTGATAGGAGTCCTCTGTCATCCATCTTGTACGAATAAGGTTGCTCCAGAGGGGGAGGAAAGATTAAATCTACTTACCCTTCCATACTGCAAGTCTATCGCTTACTGTTTAAGTTATTACTTGAACTATGATCTTAAATACTGCACAGTCAGCAAGACACTACCCAGTTACAAAGTCACCTCCTGACTACAATTACTCAAGAACTCTCTTGCCATAAGTTTTTAACAATTGAATGACTTGGTCAATGGTGTAAGACTGATTTAAGTGACTTTCTCGGGTGAATTTTTTTTCCTTCAAAAGTGCCTGAATTTTGTGCATGACGGTGTTTTTTAATTAAGTAGTAAAACATTCCCCTGTATTTTTTTGGCTGGTTTGCCCCTTGTTTCTGAGAAAAACGAAGACAAAATATAAAAGCATGCACAATGAATGCAACAAAGCGGAACAAGAGCATTTCAGCCAAAAAAAGATACAGGAGAATGTTTTTCTACTACACGTAAATTGGAAAGCACATGCAAAAATTCAGGCACTTTTGAATTGAAAAAAAATTTCACCCGAAAAAGTCACTTAGGTCAGTTCTTGCACCAAGCCATTCAATTGCATCCACCATCATAGGACCGTAATGTGTCAAGACAGGTAGCTAGTGCTGTGTCGCACCAAACTAAGCTGTCAGATATCAGATTTGGTGCACGTGACAGGGTATCAAGTCGTTCATGTGAGACCTTGTGACTAGTGAGAGCTACTAGCCGACTTAGTACATTTGCTTTCCTGGGATTATTGCTTTCTGTGTTGTCTCAAATTAGTGGTCAGGAACAATAACAATTATTACTTTCCATTCCTAGCCAGTGGACCAGTTTGAAGAGTGTACCAGGGAACAACACTGTACATACCTCTTTAGGAATAACAAATTCATCAACCTGAAGGTCATACTCATAAACTCGTGCACCCCATGGAGCCACTACTGCAGCACGTAATGTCTCATCTATCACTTGACGAGTGTACCTGAATGGAAATGACACAAGTTCCAATAAGCCTTTAGAAAAATGATTCAAAATAAATAGAGATCCACATTTTTAATCAGAAAATATAATTAACAAATAAAGAAGTCTAAGCCGTGTATTACACTATGATAAAACACGATGGTCATTTGAGAACACGAGGGAAATGTAGAAAACACGAGCCGCAGGCGAGTGTTTTCTACATTTCTCGAGTGTTCTCAAATGACCATCGTGTTTTATCACAGTGTAATACTCGGCTTAGGCTTCTTCATTTGCTTTAAAATATAGATTTTACGCGTGCAAAACAATAAAACACGCTTTTTCTATGTTTTATACTCTGATAAAACATAGGTTTTTGACCAATCAGAGCGTGCGCAGGGTCCTATCTATATTTTAATTATTAATAATAGAAACAATCAATGCTACATGACAAAGTAATGCTCAGTGTCTTTCAGTCGGTTGGGCTCATAAAACAGTTTCATTCATTATAGACTTTGTATTTGATAGAGATAATGAAGGCCATGATGATGGCATATGATGTTAATGTGGTGGACAGAGCAGGAGGAGGTGGAGTTCAATGATAATGATGATGATAATGATGATGGTGTAGACTCACGTGAGTTCTGAGACTACTTGTGGTTTGATGTCTTCTTCATCTCCCAAAACTTTGTCCAGTTCGTCAAAAACTTTCTCTTGAACCTCGGGATGTTTAGTCAGGAAGTACAAACACCAGGTCATCACTGAAAGAAATAAAAAAGATAATTTTAATTAATAGATTGAACACAATTATAGTCAGCTCTTAAATTTTAACGTGCAAACCAACAGCTGGCCTTCAAGCCACATTCCAGCTCACACATTATTACAACATTTGCTGCCTGACTTCAACTAGATATTTCCTGATTGACTGTGACTCACATATTTGTTCTTCTGCTATGATTAAAAGACTGACCTGTTGGTAAAACCCAGCAATACTGAGCAGGGCTGTCATTAAGGGCCGTAAAATGTAACACCTGTTATGGCTGAGTATGCTCGATAAGCCCATGATACTACAGTTGAAATTGCCTTCTGTTGATACAATCCAACCACAAAGTAACAAGTTTGGTATGGGCATGAAGTTTAAGGATACATGGTACTAAAAACTTAATTAATGATAGCCCTGCTGAGGCATGCCAAAAACAAACTAAGTTGAAAAGTCTTAACCTGGAGTGAAATGAAAATAAAATTCCCTGTCACTGATTTGAACTTAAAACTAGAATAAACTCCCTGATTTGTTCCAAAGCTAGAAGTTTCAAAGTAAGGACTACTAAACTAATAAAGCAGCCACACAGTGTTTGCAAATATTCACTCACTGTTTCCAGTTGTATGGAATCCTCCAATAAGGAAAGATATGACATCATCACAAATCTATTCAAATACACAAAAAGCATTTTTTATTTACTGATATAGGCACAGGGAGCACAGAAGTCCCATTTGACCATATTTCCAGTTAAATTCACCGTACTACAGTAGCCTGAATCTATCTGCTGTTGATTTAAATCTGTATGTGATCAAACTGCTGACCAGGAGTCCAACATCTATCCTAACAAAAAACTCATGAAGTAAACTAATGAATAGTGCATTTGATTGACCTTATTCCTGACTAGGAATATATTCTGGAATATTTAGAATAGACATTCTGTTCTCAGAATGGTAAAAATGATTATTTGGTTAAATATGTAAATAACCCAAGCTGTGCATTTTTTAGTTATGCTTATAAAGCTCCGTCTTTGCTTATACACAAACAGTAGCAGTAGCAAATCTTTCATATTCTCTTGAACTTTAGAAGCATGGCTATTTGTGTAGAAAACTGGTTTCCTTTGCAACAAGACAATGCACAGTGATGTCATTATTCTGAATTATTCCAAGTATTCTGCTTCTCATAGGAGAATGTACAGAGTACTTTCTAATATTTTGAAACTGGGATATTGGTAGTAGCTCAATTGAACAAACACTAACATCGTAGGATTACTTCAATCATTATCTTATTCTGTCTTCACATGGAATATAGACAATCCAATGCAACCTAACAGCTGAAGACGTCGGTTTAATAGGAAATTTATTCCTAGAAAAGTGATAGCAAACCTCCTCTTCATCCATGAAGTCGCAATCTAATATGGAATCTATGAACAGCTTTTCAGCTTTCTCATCATCCTGTTGCCTCCGCTTGATTATATCCTTAACAAGCCCATGAAGACCTGCTCTTGCTAAAACAAAAAAATTAACCTTCTCTTTTGGGAAACTCAGTGAGCCTAAGTTCAGTCATACCAGAATTGGGAGAGGGAGCAAAGAAATCATTAGGTTGGGAGGGTGGGGCAAGCAAGTGTACACTTGCTACCAAACCAAATCCATAGATTCTGAAAAAGCCCACTGATTTTCACATTTGAGTTCATTTACATGTAATGAGTGATAACAAGCTAGTCAAGATCAAAGAATAAACAAAGCTGAAAGATTTTAAAAGCTTTTGTGATATCAGTCAAGTGTTAAAGCCACCAAGTCTTTACCCTCTAAAAGAGGAAGTCTTCAGAGTAAAATCAAAATCATTAACTAAAGCTTAAAGGCAGCAGTGTCACAAGGATTTTGCTGTTTTAGGTCAATTCTGTGCTAAAATCATTACTTTGGGGCTTTAATCCTTAATAAAATGCTTCTGTAAAGCTATGACAAAGATATCAACATGGAACATGGAACATGGCATCAAAACTCAAAAACATTTTTCAAGTTTCAATCCATTATCATCATGCCATCCATAGCGACAGGCGACAGGAAACAGTTTCAGTACCTTCAAATAGTATTTAATAACAAAAGTAGCTCATTAGTTTTGGAATCCAATTGATACAAAGACACCTAGCTTTTTACAAAGTTGCCAAATAGTATGACAATGCCCCTTTAAGTCTGATTAGTTATCACTGAGGCTGACAAAACCTCTTCAGTCAGTACCAGATAATTTGTGTCATGTATAAATGGCTGTTCATGTTTTGATTACCAATTCTTTAGAATGCATACCTTTTTGGAAATTTTTTTCTCTTTCACTATCTGCTGCAGGAGGAGGACCAGTCAGTCGTGCCTCCATCTCTTCCCAAGCCTGAAAAGGAAAGAAATATTTAAAAG